TTTACCTTCACCTGGAAGGGTATAGTACCCCGTTTACAAAAACGGAGTACCGTATCACTCTTGGATGCCTCCCTCATATTCTGTCTTGCATGCAAAATACAGATTAATTTCCCTGCTCTAATGATTGAACACTTGAATTTTTATGCTCAAAAGACCACAATTCCATATGGCTCTTTCCTTACTGTGTTGTTCAAATCTTTTGGTATTGATGTTGAATGTGAATCCCCAACATATCTCAAACCCGATAATATCCTCTCTGAACAATCATTACTTAGACTGAGTCTTAGGCTTACAAATGGCAAAGTATGTTTTGTGCCTCGGAAAGGAGGGGAGAAAAAGAAAGGGAAAGGGAAAGAAGCTAAGGAAGAATGTGATGCAAGCAGTGACCAGGGTAGTGAGGAGGCTAGTGAGGGTGCTACCACCTCCAGTGATTCTGAGGGAGATAAGGAAGAAGAAAAAAGTTCTAACAGAGAGAAAAACAAAGAAAAAATACTTGAGGGAGATGTGCAAGGAGAAAAACAGGAAGATTCTGAGGGGGAACATATGGAAGTTTCTGAGGGGGAAGCTCGACAATCTGACTTACATGAGGGGCAGGGAACTGATCAAAGTGAGAGGGAACATACCACAGACTCTGAGAGCACAGCTGGACCACCTGTCATTCCTGTGTTTACAGGGGGCCTTAGAAGGAGTAAGAGGAATGTGGTCAAGCCTGCCCTTTCTACTACACACCCTGTGACTGTAGAAACCATCAGCTCCTCAGACAAATCTGATTCCACCTTCAACCCTACCCAAGTTCCCTCTTCCACTGAACCCTCTTCTATTCCTGTCTCACCTACTAGGCAGCCTTCTCATTCACCTTCTCCTCCTCCATTTCAGCCTACTGGCTTTGCTGCTTTCTCTGGAACTCGTGTGTTTGTTTATGATTTTCAACAGGTTAAAGCAGATATGGAGAAGTTGACTACTCTGGTGAGCAAGAAACTGGAGGAAATGGCCTCGGAATTGCTTTCTCTTAAAGGCCAGGTGCAGGCTCTGGCAGAATCTCAAGCAACCGGATTTGCAGGCGTGGAGGCAAAGCTTGCACAGGCTGAAGGCAAGTTTAGTGAAGGCAACAAGGAGATCTTGGAAACTATCAACAAAGTAGCCTTTGAGGAAGTCGAGGAAGACTCTATTGATCCCACAAATCCAACCCTTGATCCTACCAATGCAGCCTCTTAAATCCTTGATTGCACTTATTCTAATTTCATATGTTGAACAATTTTATTTTGGTTTTGTTTAATCTCTCTGAACTTTGGTTTGTACGCCTTTATCCTTTGCTACATTCTCTATGTTCCTCTTCTATTTCCTAAATCGGAACTTGGCTCGTATTTTTCATATGATTGTGTGTGTTTGCTGATAATTTGGTACCTAACTTATTTTTGCCTTGCATTATTTGAGCTCACTATTCCCTACGTAGTCTAGTGGGAGTATAGCAAAATGTTTTTTTTCAATCTTTTGATAATGCCAAAAGGGGGAAAAGACAAACTTCATGGCGGCTAAAGTGTTTACCAAGGAACTCACACATCGAAGGTACAAACTTTTGCTAAGTTCAGTTTTTAAAGTCTTTGTTAATTTTTCTTTTGCTCAGTTTTTTTAAAAAAAAAAAAAAAAAAAAAAAAAAAAAAAAAAAAAAACTTTTTAATATTTTTCTAAGTTCTTTAATTGTTTTTTTTTGTTTTCATGCCTTACTTTAAATTTTTGTTGCATGCCTGGATGATTTTATTTACCTAAGTTTGTCAATGTTTGTCATCATCAAAAAGGGGGAATTTGTTGAGCCTTTTGGTTTTGATGGACAAATTGACAAACTCGACTAATGAATGTTTTGAGTCTTTGGTGAATAAAGGATTCAAGCAAAGTTCGTTCCGGAGTAGGAACTTGGATGCGGAGTAGCATTCTTTAAAAAGCCTCGTGCAAATCTCACGTTCTAGTTTTAATTGTGAGCACTCAATAATATAAAGTCGGAAAGGAACTCAATGACTTATGTTAAAGACTACTAGAATAAAAGTTAGTTTTAAAAGATAATTTCTTAAAGAAAAGATAATTTGTAAAAGTTTTAATAAAGATAATTATCGAAGATAATTATCTAGTTGTTTTAATAAATAATAAATTTATCTTTTCAAATAAAATCTTTTTAAACAAACTTTTGATAATCTTTTAAATAAATATTTGATAAAGTTAGCAAGTGGTTTTTCTGTGAGAAAATCTTTTATACGGCTAATGGTTATCAAGTTGTTAGGATAGTGGTTTAATTAGATAAGGCTAGGAAACCTCTTCATGATCACAATCTGTCAAGATAACTCCACAAGTTGTTAGTGGGTTGTTGACATGTGGACGTGATTATGGTGGAGGTTAATGACTAAGCCTTCTCTATAAATACTCATGCAAACTATCTCAGTAAAACACAACTCTTGAGCATAAAAATTCCAGTAGCCATCTAATAACATAAAGAGAGTTATTTTCCTTCATATATTCTTGAGTGCAATAGGTATTTGTAATCACAGATTGTATTCAAGTACTTAGGGGTTGGGATTGTGAGTTTGTAAAGTGAGGTCAAGGAAGCTTCGTTGCTGAAGTCTTCTGTGAGAGTTGGGAACAAGTTCCTAATTTGTGGAACTTGTTAACGGGTTTGAATCTTCACTTGTAAAGAGTTTGATTACTTAGTGGAAATTTAGAAAAGCCTATATCTTCTCTCGTCACTATTTCATTTAGTTAAATTCCGCAAAAAGTTTTTAGATTTCACCTCAAATACAATTCACCCCCCCTCTTGTATTAGCCAGTTAGACTTTCAGTTGTCCTCCCCCGGAAAAAGTGGAAGCTTCTTTTACTTGAGTAGTGATGATCGTTACATGATTAAGACAATAAAGAAAACAGAAGCAAAAGTAATTCTCCCTTTCATTGATTAAACTTCTTTTACTGACCTTGTTTGGTAACCGGATCTTTGCAGCATTCAGATTAAAAATTGGTATGTTTTGAATGTATGTAGGTACTCTTAAGGATGTTATCAGCGTACTATAATCATGTTCGAGCATTTGAGAACACGTTAGTGACCAAGTTTTTCGGCCTTCATTGTGTTAAATTGACAGGAACAATCCAGAAGAAAGTAAGATGAGAAATTTGCTATACTTTTTTTCAAGTGGAAATTTTTCTTGCTAGGCATACAGTTAATGATGCACAAGAGTCCAGGTACGCTTCATTATAATGGGGAACTTATTCTGCACCGAGCACACCATTCATCGACGTTTTGACTTGAAAGGATCTTCACTTGGCCGTTCAACGGATAAGCCTGAAGAAGAGTTAGATGCAAGTACAATACTTAAAGACCTTGATCTCAACTTTATATTTCGACTGCAGAAGTCATGGTTCCAAGATTTCTGCAGGTACCTTATAACATGCCTTTTGATTTGCTTCAGTTTCTAGTAGACCATCTTTAGTTTCATAATTCATTTCTGTTACTTATATATGCAGACAAGTTGATAGAGATTGCGAGTTTTTGGAACAGGAGAGAATTATGGACTACAGCTTGCAGGGGACCTGATTCCTTCTGGATCCCGGACACCTATTGGTTAGTCACACATACTATTGTAGAATGTCCGAAAAAAAAATTGTCACCTTTCCCATATATTCAATGATTATGAGTAGAATTCCCGCCATCTATTACATGACAGTATGACACCACTTCAATTGAGCTTCTTTTAGTATAATTGTTGAGGGGTTAGAACAATGTGACAGATATTTACAGATAGAACATGTAATTTATCTTGAACATTTATATAAACATGACTCAATTTTACATGACTCGATTGTAACTCTCAGGCTGTGATGAACAAGAAAATGAACCAGGAGCTCCTCGACTTTCCAAAGTAGATATGGATCAACTTCTAATTGATCCAGCCTGGTGAGTGTTTCTAAGCTGTCATCTTAGGAGCACTTTACTTTTACATTGATCTTATTTAAAAGCTAATAATGCTTCATTTCATCTTACAATTATAATCAAATCTAGCTTCTGTTAAGCTACAGCAGAAGCAGCATTGACTAGTTAGTCTGACGCGCTTCACATTATTTCAGGTGGGATAGTGTTAAGTTAGGAATCAATATGCCAGCACAAGTTGAGAGAGCTGTGAGAAAAATTGATGGTGAATCACAGGTATTGGAGCCAGTTGGAGAATACTACGACGTTGTAATGTTCTTTGGGATCATAGACATACTTCAAGATTACGACATTAGCAAAAAACTCGAGCATGCTTATAAGGCAATGCAGTATGATGCTACTTCAATATTAGCTGTAGATCCAAAACTCTACTCCAAACGTTTTCGTGATTTTATTTTTAAGATTTTTGCGGAAGGTGCTTAAAACCAAACAACATTTGATTTCACCAACATGTTTCGTCTCCTGGTTTGGGTAACAGGTCATTATAAATAGGAAAGACTACTCTGTGTGCTTTCCATCAGGCGCGAAGAACACCCTAATCTTGCTCCTATAAGGCTGGGGATGCCTCAATTTAGTGTACGTAGTATTTGTTACTCGTATGACAGTATCTGTTGCAGTGTTGCTTTCATTGTCCTGAAGCTAAAGATATGAAAAGGTGTACACAACAGTATATAACAAAAGACAGCTAACAACACCGAATATGTAAATTAGGCAACTGCTGTTATTATTTCTTGTGGAGTCCAACATTAAGCATTGAATTTGTATCTATGAATTCTTTTTCGATTTTCCATTATCGGATCAAGTATTGTGTAATGAGGAGAAAAGACAGTACTTTAGGAGATTTTTTGTTGAGTAAATATCTTTAAGTTTGTACGATTTCCTGTCCTGTCATGTCAGATTTTGTAATGAAAAGACATTTTTCTTGCTACTTGTATTTTTTTGATTGGCCTTTTGACTCTTTAATTGCATAAATGTTTGGTAAAATTAGTCGATGATTATCAAACACAGAAACAGATTGTAGGTTTGCACTTGAAGAAACAAAGAAATGAATGTACATTATTGTATAGGTTTGCTTTGTGATATTTCATTACAGTGTACTTGATGAGCAAATACGCGTTACATAATCAAATTATGTAACGCGTGTATAATCAAACACGCGTGTAAATGTGTATAATCAAACACGCGTTACATAATTTACTACGGAGTACATGATTAATGGATGAGTATATCATATCTTGTTGAATTGGGAAAGAGCAAATACAGTGGCAGAGGTAACAGCAGGAATGAAAAAACCGTCGGGAATTACTCTAGGAAAAACTCCTTTTTTTATAAGAAATGTAGTTGCAGGAATCCCAAAGATGTAGAGTATAATATCCTTTGCTCCAATGCCTGTAAATCCTGTTTCCATTATTGCATCTTGAAGAATTTTTTGAAACTCTTCCTTTTGCAACGGTTTTCCTTTTCCTGGGTGGTGTTTCTGCATTAATATTTAATTTGTTAGACTGTTCGGGTTATGAATAAGTGAGTACAATACATATACGTGTGATTTTTTCATGAATTTTTTAGGCGTCATGATTAGCAGCAATAACAAATTTGTGTCTATTTGTTTGTTATTTGTAACTAACTTTATCGATACAATTGTGGGACATGGTATCTGAATCATGGAATTGAATTATGTCTGCATCATTGCGTTGTGAACATGTGGCCAATGGGTCCATAGAGATCTAATTAACATCCGTACATACCCACGTTCTACCAAAATAATCCTCTCAGACAAAAATATTGCGAAGGATGTAATAAAGAAAACCAATTACCTTGAATGCTTTCTCAAGAACATCTTCCTTTGGTACTCGAAATTGGGTATTGCCAACACTGGTATTGATATTTCTGCGCAGTAATCAAATCTAAGAGTTAAATCAAATGCTAAATATTGTTTTCATGATTGTAAACTAATGATGAGCATCTATCTAACGTGTTTGTTAAGTTGTGCACAGAAAGAACAAGTTATGCTTGGAACAAGATAATTAAAAGGAACCAGAGTATTGACAAGTATATATATATATATATATATATATATATATATATATATATATATATATATATATATATATATATATATATATATATATAAGGAACTTGAGCAATATAGGATAAGCAATAGAGGAACAAGAACAAAGATGAGTGTTATGGTTGATAAGCATGATGATGGCAAAGGAACCATAAAGGTAACTATATAAATAGGTGTTTGCATATGTTAGCTTCATGTTGCTTTATGTTTAATTAGTTCTCTCACTTGAAGTTTGTTTATGACAAACAAACTTTAGTCTAATGTTTAAGTGTTTATGTGAAGACAGGAACTGGCTTAGGTGAAGTTAATGGGTTGGAACTTAGCAGACTTCAAGAGAAACATGAGAGAATGAATGAAACTAAAGCAGGTTTTCCCATGAGAACAAAACCACGAAGGGACCTGAAGATATTCTCCAACAAGATGCAGAAGGAACTTTCGGCAGTCTTTCCCACGAGAGCCGAAGCATGTTCCCTATACTAATAGGTTCATGAGGAGTGCAAGCTAAGTGGCAGAAAGTTCCATAAGGAACCTGGTCTGCGAGTTCCAATAAGGAATGAACAAGAGTGACAGAAAGTTCCAGCTAGGAACTTGGTCTGCGGTTCTAGAAGTGGAATGTTGCCTCAAGGTCTAGAATACATCAATACTACAAGATTCCAAAACAAGAGTTTCATAGATACAACATGAAGACGGAGAAATCGAAGTATATCGCTCTATGATTCATGTAAGTATGTTGGACATAAAAGTCAGTCTGGAACAAGTCTATAAAACCAATGTGAACTCTTGATAGTCAATAAAATTAGAGTTACTGACTTGTTAGAAACTTACTGATTTGTCAGGAACTCAAAGACTATCAGAGTTTCGAAATCTAATAGGAACTTAAGTCTGCACGTCTTTAAGATTTGGTTTTAATGATATAAATATTTACCTAATACGTGCATATCTTTTAGGGATATGATTTTACAAAATAAAAATATTTATTTCTAATAAATCTCTTTAGGAAAAAGATAAGCTATTTTTGGAAAGTATTTTCAACAAAAATAAGTTTTGATTAAAATCTTTAGCAAGTCTTGCATGTGGTTGGCCACACAGTGTAGCCACATTGATCTATAAGAGTAATCTTTATTTATATGTATGAGTAACCTCATTTTTTTATAAGAGTAACTACATGTAGTCCATAAAAGTAACTCAAATTCATTATACGAGTGAAATCAAGTTATTTAGAAATAAGTATCCCAATTTGTTCATTTGAGTAACCCTTATTTATTTTTTTGTTTTAAAAAACGAATGAATAATTCATTTATTAGCTAGTAACCCCCTTTTTCTCATTTAACTAACCTACATATGTTACGGTAACCCCATTTAATCTTCACCGTAACCCCCTATTACTTAATTAATTGCCTTATATGTGATTATGTGAAATGGTCACACCATGTGGCTAGCCACATATAAGACTTTGTGTAAAATTTGATTTTACGGCAATTATATCTTTTTGAAAAAGATAAGCTAGTATATTTGGAAAATATAAGTTTGAAATAAAATCTGTTTTTGTAATAAATATATCTTATTATTGACAGAATATATTCTTAACAAAAAGAAATATTTTTTGAAAACTTATTTTTGGAAAATATCTTTTGAACATATCTTTTGATAAAACTTATCTTTTACGAAAAGAATGATTTGGGTATACTATAAATATGCTCATATGTATTCATTCAAAGTTGATGTTGATGAAGTGTAATGGTCGTGCTTAATGGTTTAATTCTTGAGTGTCCAGCATATTAGTTTTATCTCATGTGTTATTATTATGTAATTTGTATAAAAATTCTTCTAATAATTTTTTAGGAATAGGGGAGTAGTTTTTTTTTTTTTGACAGGGGAGTAGTTATTTAATTATTATTATTTTTGTAAAATTCAAATAGTTTGGGAAGGAATTGGAGTTGAAAGACATACTCTACTGTTTCACAAACTGCTCTGTAGAAGTCACAAAAAAGTTCATCAGGTTCCTTAAACTCCTCCTTATTTAACAACTCCTTCTCATCATAACATCTTCTTGCTATTTCTTCCAACTTGGACTTTTTCACCTCGTTTCCTACAAATTAAAACATTAATTAGTTTACATGTTATTTAGCATTATAATTAATAAACATTGTGTTATTGTTATAGGAAAATTTGTCAATTACTACCGCAAGTTAATACTACTTTTGTAAATTACTACCGCAAAGTAAAAAAGTTGTGAATTACTAACGCAAAAAATTTTAACATGTTGCGATTACTACCAAACCCCCAATAAACCCAACTATAACATCATTATATCACTTTAACCCTTGGTTAAAGCTTTTAACCATGACGTCATTATATCCCTAAACCATTTTCTTTTTTTTTGGAGGGGGGAGGAGGGCTGGTTAAAGCCCTTATCCATGGTCAAACACGGGTTAAAGGGATATAATGACGTCATAGTTGGATTTAATGGGAGTTTGGTAGTAATCGCAACATCTTAAAAAAATTTACGGTAGTAATTCACAACTTTTTTAATTTGCGGTAGTAATTTACAAAGTAGTGTTAACTTGCGGTAGTAATTGGCAAATTATCCTTTGTTATATATGATCCGTTAAACTCAAAATGGGATCAACAATTGATCGTTTGATTAAGACAATTTCTTATAAAAGAAGTTACTTAGTAAAATGTTTCTTTTGTGCAATTTAAGGCAACTTATAAATAGATAGATTTAATCTAGCTAGCTTAGGATTTGATGATGATACTTAGGTCTTTAAAAAAAACATTCGATAAGATCAAAACGATTTATTCATATTTTGTTAGAGATATGATATCATTATTATCAGAAATATATATACTCATAAATAAGAAGATTGTCAACACTAATTCTATTAAGTAATTAAAACAAGGAAATTTTAGATTTTAACACCTCACAAAAACACGAAAATTGATTTTAACACCCCCATAAAAAAAAAAATTGATTTTAACACCAGATAAATTTCCAAAAAATTGGTATTACCACCACTTAACTGATTCTGTTTAGGAATCCGTTAAGTGGATCCATAAGCCACGTGTCGTGTTATTATTGGCCAAAAAAATAAAAAAAAAGAAAAAAAAAATAAAAAAAAATAAAAAAAAAGAAAAAGAATAAAAACCTAAAACTACCCAGCTACCACCACAGCACCACCGCCGCGCCACCGCCGGCTTCCCCCCAACTCACCATATCTCTCCACGAAACCACCACCCGTGTCGCACCACCTCCCCCAACCCACCTGAACCCTCCCCCTCCCTTTCCCGCAACTGTATCGCCCCCAAAAACCACCAAACCCAAAACCCTTGTTCCCCAAAACGGCCACGAATCTGGCCAAAAATGGCCGAAATTGGCCGGTTTTAGGGATTAGTGGCCTTAACCGGCCGATTTCGGCCTTTTAAGGCCGGATTCGTGGCCGTTTAGGGGGGACGAGGGTTTTGGGTTTGGTGGTTTTTGGGGGCGTTACGGTTGCGGGAAAGGGAGGGGGAGTGTTCAGGTGGGTTGGGGGTGGTGGTGCGACACGGGTGGTGGTTTCGTGGAGGGATGTGGTGAGTTGGGGGGAAGCCGGCGGTGGCGCGGGGGTGGTGCTGTGGTGGTGGCTGGGTAGCTTTAGGTTTTTATTTATTTTTCTTTTTTTTTTAATTTCTCTTTTTTTTGAACAAATAAAATGCTGACACGTGTTAATGTGGGCCACACTTAACGGAATTTTTGGATGGAAACCGTTAAATGGTGGTAATACCAATTTTTTGGAAATTTATCTGGTGTTAAAATCAATTTTTTTTTATGGGGGTATTAAAATCAATTTTCGTGTTTTTGTGAGGTGTTAAAATCTAAAATAACCTTAAAACAATCATTACTATACGTAAAGATTGATTAATAACAAAGTAACTATAGTATGCATATATATATAAAAAAAAAAAGAGTAAGTTGACCTAGAGTTGATCACATTTAGTGGCTCGAAATTTCCATGTAAGCCCTGATTATATAAATAATTTTTTTTCGAAAAATCTTGACACAAACCGACCAACTCGTGATCAATTCTAGGTTAACTAAAGGAGAAGGGATGATACCAGGAGTTAGTTTCATCAACGATTGACCCATATCTTCAAATTTGATCTTCCTTTCTTGAGCTCCCTCTTTTCTTGTAATGTTAGTTTGAATGTAAGTTGCAATAAATGAAACCAAGGATTTGACGCAACTTATGTTGCATAGAATCATAGATAAGCATAAAAGAACAATTGACATATACTATGAAGACTTGTGGGTTGGGATTAGTATAATGCATTTCCTCAAAATGAAGGCAACTTAATTGATTCTCTTTATATATTTCTAATGATTTTGTTGTGCTTGTATATATGTATATTCTTACTCTTTCTTATTCTTGGTTTAGAAGATTTATCATTTGTGATTTTTGTATTATATTGCATTCGTGGTCAACGTTACATTCCAAAGTTTTTATCTTAAAATAAAGTCAAAGTAATGCTTGCTAGAGTTTTCTAAATTTTTTATTTCAATAATAAAATAATATGTAACAAAAAAATTAAAATTTGCTTTGTCAAGTTGTTATAATTAAATTGACATGATTTGTAATGAAAAATGAAAAAAAAAACTACAGTATAGTATCTAAATTGTTTTTCCCTCTAGGTTTTCTCCTTGGGAAGGTTTTTTGGTTCCCTCTAAGGTTTTTCCTTAGGAGGATTTTTCTAGCCTCCATTGCTAGATTTGTTCTGCTTTTTTGAAGGTTTTCCTTCACTCTTCTTCTTCTTCTTTTTTTTTTTCTTCTTTTCTATCTTTTTTCTTATGATCTCAATTGTAAATTTTTGTAGGGGCTTTTACCGGTGATAAGCTCAATTTTTTTTTAATTGCTTTCAATAAATGGATCCCATCTTTATGATGAGATTTATTCAATTAGGCTTATGTTTTTTGTTTGTTCGTGTGCTAAAGTTTGAAGATTTAGGGTTTCATCGTCTCCGAAAGTATCTAGAAGGCCATATGAGTTTCTTCACCCAAACAACTACTCATCCATGGATCTCAAGCCAGATTAGAGCTAACTCACGTATTATATTGCTTCAGAAGAAGTTTTTTTTTATTACGGCGATCGTCGATCGAATATGTGATGTAACTAGTTTTAAGGTGATTTGTACTTGTATTGGAATTTTAGATTTCCTAGGAATTGTTTATTGTAAGTGTCGTTTGGCTATCTTTCATTAATGAAATCCTTTTTCTTCTTGGTAAAAAAAAAAAAAAGATTTGTAATGAAAAACGAATACTAAGTTTATTTTCAAGGAAAATTTGTGAACCACTATCATTTATTTTGCACTTTTTGAAAACTGTTTTTTTTTTTAAAAAAACAACTACCATTATTAGAAAATTTATTTGAGTACCACGCACTACCATTTAACCGTATTGTACGACCCACTTGAACCCTAACCACCCACTACTCCCTACACGAATCAAACCCCAACTACCCACCAATCCCAACCACCCACCAATCCCCAACCTAAACCGAACCCCGACCACCCACCACTCCGCTATCCAAATTGAATCAGTCGCTAATCACTACTCCTCGAACTTGAACTGAACTAGCCATCCACTGCTCCCCCACCTGATTATGCGAGTGTGAGTGGGTGTTGGGGGTGAAATAAGAGGTGATGCATGCGGTGGGGTGGGATTTGGCAGCGAAAGGCGTGGAAGAGAGAGAATGGGAGTACATCGAGGTGAAGTGGTGGTTGGATAGGTTTTGGTTTACGGCTAAGGGCTAGTTGAGTTGGTGGTCTTGTGGGGTCAGTGGTGGTGGTATGGTGGACTGGTGGGGGAGTGGTAGGTGGTTAGGGTTTGATTAAGGTGAGCCCTACAAGACGGTTTTCTTTTAAATAGTTACCGTTAAATGGTAGTGATACTAAAACAAATAAAATTTCAAATAGTGGTAGTTGTTTTTTTAAAAAAAAAAACTTAAATGGTAGTTGTTTACAAAAAGTACAAAGTAAATGGTAGTGGTTCACTAAAAATCCTATTTTTAATAATAAAATAATACCATAGTATATTAACATTGTGTTCATCTATTCCCAAAAAATAAAAATCTAAGTTTCGCATTATTGTCAATCTTCAATTCTTCATCATAATTAAATTGACTTGATTAAAATGAAAAATGAACCAATCTTAATTATTATACTTAACTTTGATCATATCTCAACCCTCACGGGTTTTTTTTTTGTGATATATTTGTGGATCAAACACTCAAAATTAAAGGAAAAATATCTAGGATAATTCTTACCTCCTTCTTACCCCTAAGCACTGTCACTTGAAGACGGAGATTCGAACTCCAAACCTTTAGTATATGTGGTAAGACCTTTACAAAGTTAGACCTTGTTTTGTTGAATTTTGCTTGCGTTTATTTTGTTAGAGAGTGTGGTCAAAGTGTGCAACATCATTAATTTAACCAATTTTTACATTTTTCATGCACCTTATGATCTTAAAATTGCAGGGTGTGATTCCAAACCGTAATATATATGCACTTTAGGTGCAATTTTGTATAAGTTGGACTCCTTACTACTAATGATATATGTGGATCGTGCCTCGTGTTGGTTCTGCATTCCTTGGATATTGTCAGCCCATAGTCGATCCTTGTTACATGTCAAGTTTGCCTAAGCACATGTGATGCATTTTTTTTTTCAGTGAAAAAGAGGGGCAAAGCCCCAAAGCAAAAACACATGTCATGCATTGTTGTGATAACATTTCAAAGCATGTTATGACATGTCGTGTCATATTACGTTTCTCCAAGAAAAATGACTAAAATCCACCTCAAACCCCCTAAAATCTATAGTACATTAACATGTGTGGCCATGTGCCCATGTTATGTCATGCGAGTATGCGACTGAAGCCACAAAGTAGAAACACACATGTGCTAGCATTTCAAAACATGTTAAAGAAATATCGTGTCATATCACGTTTCTCCAAGAAAGAGTGACTCAAACCCACCTCATATATCATACCCTTAATATATACAAATAAATTAACATGTAGTGTCATATACTCATGTATCCATGTTATGTCATGTCATACATTTGTGTCCATACCATGTTACGAGTATTTTTTTATTGATGATGCTAGTCATACCATCCAATGGGCCGACCCCGCCCAATACTATCTTTACTTATCCCTAGGCCCTAGGAATAATACTCCTCAACAACTAAGTAGTAATTAGTAATAAATCTAATTACAGTCTTACAAAGAGAATATTACACCTCAGTCTAGAACATTACCAAGGAAATGCTGGAAATCATAAACCGAGAAAATCTCGGAAAACAAATGAAAACAGGGCACAATTCTTACCAAGCTATAAAAAGCAGAGCAAACACAAACATTACAACCCAACAACAATGGCTTCAACGGTCCAATCACACCAATGATCAAAAACTTTCTTTCTAGACTCCTCTTTCACTTTCTCTCTCCTCCCATTTTGTCCATTTCTTCCTTTTTTGATTAATTTATCATTTCCATAATCATCATCTCGCCGCCTCTCTGTTTTTTTTAACCTAAAAGATTGGAAAAAGTTTCAATCTTTATTCATAAATTTATTAAAAAACATTCTGGGTTCTTAATATTAAATTCTGGGGTTTAATTGCTGAAATTTGCAGTAGTTGTTATGGCGGGAAAAGATAGAGATGATACCCAATTTGATTTGGAAGATGAACATGATTTAGAAGATAACAGGGTTAATAGTTGTAGCAGTGATGATAATGAAGATGATGATAGTGATAAAGATGATGACAATGTTGATGATGATGAAGGTGAAACTTTTATCTCTCAAACTTGGCCTCAGAGTTTCAGGTAATTTTTTTTTTCGGTAATTTTTTTATATTTTTCTGCATTCCTTTGTTTTATACTGTAATAGAATAGTTGAGTTTATGTTTTAAAAAAAAAAAGAATAGTTGAGTTTATGATTTTTTGGAATAATTGTTTGATTATTTGAGATTCTTTTACTTTTAGCAATTCTATAAAGTGTGCATACTTTTGTGTAAGAAATTTTGTGATTTTTTTAATACTCTATGTATATTCAGCTAATTATTAAGCAATTTGAATGCACAATGAAATAAAAACAATCTAATTGTGTATCTCCATTAATTGTTGTGGGAATTAATTATGTTTTGCCCAATTCAATTTTAGTGGCAAAAAAATTGGTTTGAACTTGTGGGGTTTAATTGGGGTGTTGGGCTTAATTTGTAGTTTTTGTTTTATATGAACTATATGAGTAATAGTTGTAGGTTTTGAAAGAATACATAGAAAGAAGAATTTTGGGTGTTTGGGTTAAGAAAAATTTAATCTTGTCAGAATTAATAGTTGAAGTAGCTAAATCCAACAGAAGAGATTAAACAAATGTAGGCTTTTAAAGAATTGATGTATAAGTTTGCTTCTTTGGTTTGTTTGAGTAGGAGTGATAGGATATGATATGTACTTGTACTTCGTACTATCTCCGTTCCTTTTTGTTGATTACCCTTTCTACTTTTGTATGTGCCTTAATCTTGGTTTCACTTTTGCTTTTTGATTGTTCTTTGATGGTTTTAAGAAGAAAAAAAAAAAACTATCTAATGATGAAATAGGTCAATTTGATTTGTAACACTACTCATATAGTTGAATTGTTGTCAACTTGCTGTAATTATTATAATGTGATGGGAAAAGCTTTACATCTTCATAACTGCCTTTTGTGTTCTCATGTTTTCGATAGAGAGACAACGGATTCGTATACACTTGCTGCATCCCCAGGGTTTGGACTGCTTGGTCGAACTCCTAGCTTGATTAGCTTTCGCAGCAGAAGTAACATAGATGATGATGGAAATAAGACTCCCTTGCTTTCTGAACATGGGAGCAGATACCAGAAAGAAGACTATGACAAGTTGTCGAAAGTTTCATCGAGGATATCTGCTTTAGGATCCTTGCATGAACATCTTGCTGGAGAGCTTCCAATTGGTCAAGGATGCACTTTCACTCAAACTGTATTCAATGGTGAGAATTGCTTGTTTAAACTATTACAAGCTTTCATACCATGATCTTTAAATGACTGAAGTTCTCAGATTTCACCTATAATTTTCCATTCTTTAACAATTGAGCTTTTTCAATGTTTGTTTTCTTGCAGGGATAAATGTTATGGCTGGAGTTGGGCTTCTATCTACTCCGTATACAATAGAAGAAGCTGGTTGGCTGAGCCTGTTATTCTTATTCCTCTTTGCTATGGTATGCTGTTATACAGCCTCACTTATGAGATATTGCTTCGAAAGTAAGGCAGGGATTATAACTTATCCAGACATTGGTGAAGCTGCATTTGGAAAATATGGACGTCTATTCCTATCAGTGAGTTCCTTGATTGTTTTATGTGAAATTAAATTCCTCTATGAGTCTATGATACTGTATTGATATTTGATGGAAATTACTGCTGAGAGCATGAATATGCAAGCATACCCAACCGTTTTAGAATATGCTATTAGCTTCTGTGTTTTCTAACTTTGAGAAAGAAATATGTACCCTAACCTATTTTTATCTTTTTCTTTCCCTCTGCAGATTGCCTTGTATGTGGAGCTATATGTAAGTGAAAGTTGAGATTCTTATTACATATTTACATGAACTACAGTTTTCCTTCAAAATTTTCTTAATGTTTGTATGTTTTGTGCAGTCATATTGTGTAGAATTCATTATATTGGAGGGGGACAATCTTACTAGGCTATTCCCTGGGACTTCGTTAAATTGGGGTGGCTTTTACCTTGATTCAACACATGTGTTTGCATTGCTCACTGCCCTTATTGTTCTACCAACAGTGTGGCTGAAAAATTTACGCGTAATTTCTTACCTTTCAGGTAAGTTATCAATTTCATCTTGTCTAATACAGTTTTTATATGTATTTTTACGTGGAATAACCCATATGGTATGTGGAATTTTTTTTCCTGTGCAGCTGGTGGAGTTATTGCAACAGTGATGATTGTTTTTTGTGTTCTGTATCTTGGAACGGTTGATGGGCTTGGCTTTCATCACACAGGAAAACTTGTAAATTGGAGTGGCATGCCCTTTGCTATTGGTGTGTATGGATTCTGCTACTCAGGTCATTCAGTTTTCCCCAATATCTATCAATCAATGGCTGACAAGAAACAATTCACAGCAGCATTGATAACCAGGTATGGAAACCTGTAGACTCAGAAGCAATACTTGGAGCTTTATGGTTCTTGTTTGTCTCTCGTTATTAATGTGAACTTCTATCTGCTGTGCAGTTTTGCTCTGTGTGTTTTGATATATGGAAGCGTTGCTGTCATGGGATTTCTTATGTTTGGCGAGGGCACACTATCACAAATCACTCTAAACATGCCAAAGGATTTGGTTGTTTCTAATGTTGCACTCTGGACAACTGTATGTATTTCATTTTTTTAATAAATTTTATTTCCCAACATTCAAGTATATTGGAAGGAACACTTACAATTTTCTGCTTTCTTCTGTGCAGGTGATCAACCCATTTACAAAATATCCTTTTCTTTTTCTTTTTTTCATTAGAAGTCATTTCTTTGTTTTTGATGTCAAACACAGATATATATGATATACATGCTGTCCTCTAAGACTTGTTTTGTGATCCTTGACATTGTATACGTATGCATTATTGTTGAACCCACTAGCTCGAGGAATAGAGGAGCTGTTGCCAGCCCATATTGCTAACAGCAACTGGTGTTTCTTTGTGCTCCGGACAAGTCTTGTTGTTTCCACACTTGCTGTAGCTTTCTCAGTTCCATTTTTCGGTATGTATTTTACACTGTTATTCAACTGCTAACATTTTCAAATCCAGAACATGGTATAGTTTTGGTTTGAAGACTATAAATGAAGAAGAAACAGATTATTTTAAGCTGGAGTTAGACATGCAAGAAGTTATCTTAGTTTTTGTGGATCATGTGATCATGTCTTAACTCTAAGAAGATCATAGAAAAAAAAAAAGGCTTGAAATGTTTTCCATTAGATATAAGACTGGTTACATCCTCGCACTCTGCAGCTTTGATGTGGCCTTGCATCTTCTTTCAGTTTTATCCCAATTAACTGACAACCCCTCTTTTGGTTAATTCTTGTTGCCTTTTTCTTTCTTCTGATTAGCTTGACTTAGTTTTCCAATATGCTTCCTCCTCCCTCCAGCATTAAAAGTCTCATACTACTTCATATCACATGCTATTTCAGGAAGTAAAAGTTATCACTTTTTTCTAGTTTACTAATGAGTAATGCTTTAAATTTCCAATTTGCCACTACTTTAAGCAAGCAATGGGGAAGAATAAAAAAGGCTCAAATGGACTTCTGTAAAATTAATCATAAGGATTGGGACAAGGTGACAACTAAGTTTACACGGAGGGTTTTGGTGATTTAGTTGCTCTAGTTTGTTATGGACGTCTAGTTAATATTTGATAACTCTATGTGCTAATGTTCTTCGTATCTTTTTTAATGTCTTTGATATCTTTGCAATGAAGTTTCCTCATATAAAATTTGGCCAGTATACATTAATTTTCTTGTCTTATGGCTGCAGGTCTTCTGATGGCTTTAATCGGTTCGCTTTTGAGTATTCTTGTGGTAAGCATGCTCATATGTAGAGTACACACTATATTGCATCACATTGCAGTTTAATTTGGATACTACCTAGTGTACTTCTCATGGCATGATGGATTCTGATTAGCATGCTATGAAGTATGAACCTATGCTTATGTATATTGTTCATGTGTCCTTTTGTGATGCAGGCTATGATCTTTCCAGCTCTATGCTTTTTAAAAATTATGGATAAGAAGGCTACAAAGATGCAGGTTTGCCAACATAATCTGTCTTGCTTATTTGTAGAGATTGTGTAGTGTGATATTGTCATTAGATATCATGAATTCATGAGGCTTACGTTACTTAGTCATGGTTCGAAAAGAGAGGGAGAGCCTTTTTTACATTAACCTTAATCATACGGAGCAAAAGAGTTCAGGAAATTGACTAAAACTAGACAATCATGCTTGTTCAGACTTCCATACGCATCAGAGAATCCTATGCCTTCCGTTGTTGCAGGGGAATTCAGCAACCACTCCTCTTCACAATGGTGGGCACAGGTTCCTTGTTGCACAACAAGCAACAGCTGGTTGCTTTCTTAGTGATTGCGCTTAAAATGTACCTTTAGTTTTTGTGGAGGTTAAAATAGCGTGTGTCTAAGGACCTTTCATCACAATATTCAGAAATTAAGATGAATGTTAGCTTACAGGCAGCTTATTTATTTACCTGAATTTTTTTGGTTTTCAAGTCTGGTTATAGTTTCTCATTGTACTCATCCTCGTTTCCTTTCTTTACTTTTAGGTGATAATAAGCACTGCTATTGTCGTGTTGGGTGTTGTCAGTGGAGCCTTGGGGACGTATTCTTCAGTGAAACAGATTATTGGGAGTTACTGATGCGTAGATATGACATGACTATTGACTCCAGTTTTGGCTTGCCAGAGGGTTGTGCTCTAAAATTCTTTAAAAATCTTTAGCTGCTCGCAAAAGATATATGTATCCGTACATAAACTTAGAAAATCTTCTGTAGTCTTATACCGATTGGGTGTAAGGCTGCATATAGTGGATCCTCCTCGAACCCTACCTTAGTGAATTACAACTAGGTGTGTGGGTGGTGGACTGGTGATGGTTGTGGTTGTGGTTGTGGTTGTTGTTAACTTGTGTCGTAAACTTTTAGATAACTACAAAGTACAATACTTTTACATAATGCTAGCCACATCTCTTGGTGGCATAAAATTGAGTTTTCGGGCACATTCATATGCTTACAATGCCTAGTATGCTAAGTGGAAACCAGATTTTGCTTGAGAACAGGATAATCGAATATAGACTTGCTATTTTTTGGTGTATGGTTCAATTGTTATCATATTAACCATTTTGGCCTACTAAACATTTGGCACAAAAAGCCCATAAACATAATGGAGGAGCAATGGCAACTCCATCTTTAAGTAAATTAGCCTTCTGGCCCGTGCAATTCACGGGTTATTCATATAAAATTGTATTGAGAGATAAGTGAGGAAATATCAATAATCATTATAGGGTATAATATGTAATTAGAGACATGATTAAACAAATTAAAATTTTGAAACTTTAATCGAAAAAGAGGCTTAAATAGAAGGTAGAAGGGCTAAAATTAAAGAGAGATTAGGAAAAGGTTTAATTAAAGGGGAGAGATGAAGATGAAGAGTGTATGAAAGAATGAAGTATAAGTTTAATGTAAGAATTAAAAAAAAATGGTGTAATAAAAAATTAATAGTGTAAGATGACATGTGGCACTATGGTTAGAGAAGTGTAAAAGAATGAATGAGGACATGTGTCTTTCTTAGTTTCTTGGTTATAGTTTTTAAATACTAAGTATAGATTTGTTACCACCTTAGTCACTTGTTTCCCCCTCCCCTCTTCTTCTTCTTCTTTTTTTTTTCCCTTCAAAGGGGTGAAGTTAAGGCATGTTCCCATACATTTATTTTCAGTTCAGCTCAGCTCCTAATTTCTTTCTCTTATAAAATATTCAATTGAGTTCAGCTCATTTCAGCTGAGCTCAGTCAATGAAAACATGCCCTTTTTAAATTTTGGTTGAGAAGAGTTAATGAGAGAGAAAAGTTGTGAGATGTGATCTAATTTTCTATAACCAAAAAAAGCATAGGGCCGGCTAAAGTCAAATTAAAAGAACGAACTAGACAGAAAAATGAGGCAAATATTTGGGGACGGTGGGAGTATTATGCAACTTTAAACCTTCATCTGATAATTTTGGTGGCTTAGTGGGTAGAGAAGTAAGATGATGTCTAAATGTAGGGAGATGAGTGTTAAGTTTGTTATTAATTATTATAGTTGTACTTGTAATCAAAATTCTTTGGAGGTTACACTTTATATTGACTTTATTATCATTATGATAGAAAATAAAAATATTTTTCTTCTACTTACAAAATCAATAAAAGATGAATAAATTATTTCATGTTTGAGATTGATTTAAAAGTCTACTTACAAATGTTCATGATCATACTTTATTCCAATTTCACCTCACATAAATGCAAATAAAATAAACTGGAAGTGGAAATATAAATGAATAAATCATGTTATATCAAATTTGTGTTCTTGTTAGATAATAAAAAAAATCTTTAATTAGAGTATGTTCACATTTACTGAACTAAACTGAACTGATTGGAGCTGAACTGAACTGAGTTGAGCTGAAATGAATATTTTATGAGAGATGAAAATTAGAAGTTGAAATGAACTGAACTGATTGAAGCTGAATTAAACTGAACTGAACTGAACTGAATTGACTGAACTGAACTGAAATTAAGTAAATGTGAACATGCCCTTAATTCATTCAATTAAATGAGTCAAAATGCTTGACATTAACTTTATATCAGTTTTTTATTTTATTAATTTTTTTTAACCCCAATCTAATATAACTAGTTAATGATTAGACATGTAGACTTTCTTACATATTTGAAATGTAATTTGATGGTTAATCAACATCACATCATAATCTTTGTTATATATGTAAAAAATTGACCTAACTGAGCCTGATTCGGAAACGATTAGCTTTAGATTTCAACCTTCACGGAATAATGTTTTAACATAACTCAAATAAAAAAATACTTGACCTACCTAGGCCCAATCGAATCTGACTAGTGACCCAAATTGACACTTCTAAGTTGAGTTCTTGAGGTTACATATGTCAATCATTGTATCAATGTATGTTTAATTAATCATTAACCTACTTTCATATTAAATTCATGATGATTTAATTTATTGTGCTAAAACATAAAAAATTTATATTTTTTTATACTCAGTATAGGTTAAGAATTCATTAACTCGGTATATTTTCAATACTCGTGATGATTTTATTCATTGTGATAAAACATAAATCTAGTATGACAGGTGTTCATCTCGTGTCGTATCGTGTCATGTTGTGGTGTTATTGTATGGTTTAAAATCCATCAACTTTTTTTGTACCCAAGTTTGTTCTTAATTTATGGTTCTTGGGGTTGTGGGCGACAGAAATTAGAACCTACCTCCCCTTTTCTTCCCTTTTTTCCACAATGTAATCTGATTGTTAACCGACATCTCATCATCATCCAACCCCCCTTTTTTCAATTTCCCCTTCTTACTATTTCCTCTCTCTTTCTGCGGAATAACCGCGAAAGAGAACAACCCACTAACTGTGTATTATCCCTCCCTTTTTTTGTTTCAGAATTATGAGGAACAATGCTTTTTTTGCAGTCAGAATCATAATTTAGGCAAATAAATTCATGGGTATTTCTGGGGTTTTCTTGAAATTGATTAATTCGTTGATTAGTTGATTGATTGCAGGAATTTTTTGTTGTTTTTATTTTAAATTACTTGGTTTTAGAATAGGATGAGATTCATTAAAGATGGGGTCTGTTGGATGTTGTGAAAAACAAGGGAAAATGTCTGAATTGGTAGCACGCACTGGTCGACAACAGCAACGCTATGAAGATGGCTGTCGTCTTGTTGCTGGGTATTTTTTTTTTTAATGCAATCTTTATGCTTTTAGTGCAGTTTATGCAGAATAATTATATAAATGTTTTCATTTTTGTGTATTATTATTGTCAATCTATAGTCAGTGTTATATATTCTGTGGATGTCGTCTAGCTTAGTTGGTACAATATCGGGGATGCTTATCTTGAATTGAAATCAAATTACGTCTATATTGCTATCATTCCGCTTTGGGTCTTTCTGTACATAGGAAAAAAGAATTTTGTTATTTTATTTCATTGGTCAAGTGTTTTTGGGTCAAGTGGCTTATAATTGTTTCAATGCTCTTGATTTGTTTAATGATTATTGCTGAATGGTATTCAATCTTATTTATTATAAAATGAAAAGGGATGTGGGAATTTGGGGTTGTTAGAATGTTAGTACATAAATGTCATTGCTAGAATTGGTCAAGCTATATGGTTATTGGTATATAAAAAATCGTATGGAATAGTGCTTAGAATTTCTTTCATTTCTGTCGTTAACTTTTCGGGAAGATGTTCAAGTCTTTGATTTTGGGACATATAATTGGGGAGGTTGATCGCGTTTTTAAGCAATGATTGCATTTGAAACTGCTTAAAGTTTGTTTGCAGCCATATCGAAAGTTGATGGTTGATGAGGTTTGAGCAGTCATTTGGGTTTTTGGCTGCCTTGGATAAGCTCACACTAACCCGTCAATTTGGTGGGAGTAAAGGATCGTCAACAAGGGCGTTCTAGTGCATTTTAAGTTTGGTTGGTGTTTGTGTTTGGTTGCTCTATAATGTTTTGAGAAAAGAGTAGTGCAAATGCCCAAGTCTTATGTTGTTGGCTATTGCGGGATGATTCTAAGCAAATTCCTTAACAACACAGAGTATGAACGCATTGTGTCCCGTGTTTAGAGGTTTTTATATTCACATCTTTACTTCATACTAGCAGTGGAAAGATTACCTCAACGCTTTTTTCCCAGAGAATTTTTGAAACTAAATAGATTTCTCTTTATTGATAGTTGTCGTAGACAGCAGCACTAGCTTCCATTTCTTAAAGAGGGACTAGCTGTCACACAAATTAACCTTTCTTTTTCTTTTTTGAGGATTGGTGCTGCAACATTGATCTTTGAGCACGTCATGCTCTTGATTTGAACATATAGAAAGTTAATGTTTAATAAGGTTTGAGACTTTGAGCAATATAGCTCAATTCGGTTTTTGCTTTTTTGCTGCCTTGACCCTAAGGTGTTTGTGTTTGGTTTCTCTATATTGTTTTGAGCAAAGAGTAGTGCAAATGTGAATTGCTTATACTGTTTGCTAACGCATAATGATTCTAAGTAAATCTCAACATCTCTTGAGTATGAACTTACTGTGTCGGGTTTGGAGAGGTTTTTATATTCACAACCTTACCCCATACTAGTTGGAAGTAGTGGAAAGATTAGCTTAAATTTTTTTACAAGAGCACTTTTGAAAAACAAAATAGATTTCTCTTCATCGGTAGTAGTTGTAAACTAGTAGCACAAGCATCCATCTCTAAAAAAACTGACAGTTGTCACATAAATTAGGCTTTCTTTTTTGAGGATTGGCAACATGAGAAGTGAGAAGAGGGGTAGAAATAGGGGATACAAATGATTTTCTTATGATTGGTAAGCACATGCAGAAGGTGGAGCTATTTTTTGGTGCGTGTGTGTGTGTGTGTGTGGAGGAGTTGCATCATGGATCCTTGAGCACATCATGCTCTTGGTAAGCTTTGGATAAGCCACGTTCTTGCTTGATCTCAACCCCCCCCCCCCACACACATACACGAACAACAAAGATCATAAATTTACCTCTTGCAATCTTTCATAGATTTTATATTTAGGGCATGCTGAAATTTAGTATTACCTTTTTACATGTTCTCAATAGTCAGGAGAATTGCACAATTTAACTATACATTTATTTGCAGGTGTATCCCTTTTAGATATAGAAATTCTGCAGAAAGTGATGGAACAGAATCAGAGAAGATTGTGGAAGTGCTTATGATCAACTCAACTAGTGGACCAGGTCTTCTGTTTCCTAAGGTGATTTTGTTGACACTTTCTTGGTTTAGCTTAAATTTTGGGGGATCTGGAGATGGCAACACTAATGCATGATTTGTATCTAGTCATAACGATGGGTGTTTGCTTTGATTCCATTTCTCATTAGTTGTGAATCTGTCATTACAGCCCCCATGTAAAGCAAAAATAAAAAATAAAAAAATAAAAAAAATTATATAATGATATTGAGCCACTTGATGAGGAAACTAGTTATGCAATAATTATTTTACTACCTAGTATGTAGCTAGATGACCAACTTTATCTCTGTTACTTGACCATATCATTTATATCTTTCCCAAAGCCACTCTGTTTAACTATTAGAGGAACCCTCCCCTTCTAATGTCTTAATGAAATGACTTCAGGAGTTCAGGTTATAGGTTCATTACGGTGGCATGGCTAAGCATTTAAGGAAATACTTGCACAAATACATTTCTATAAGACCCCCCATGTGCACTTTGCCTTAGATAATTCTAAGCCTCCACACCAACATAGAAAGCTTATTAACCTTCATTGAAATAGTTACAGGAGCTTATGAAGTACATTATGCTGAAAAGATGTGAAAAATGGATGCGAATAGGAAATTTTCATGTATACACAGATACACTAGAGTTCCGGCCATGAGTGATAAACATTTATCCATCTTGGCACAATCTCTGCTTGCTCTTTATCACTAGATGCCTAAGAGTATGTACTTCTGGTCTCTCTTTCTCTCTCTCAACCCAAAAAACCCCAATGATGGTCACTGTCTCTCCATGGAGATTCACCAAAGTGCAGGCCTTAAAATATTGGAGAGCCATGGACATGCATCATGCAATGAAGAGGTAGAACTAGCCCTCTATAAAATTTGGTGGCTGTTGGCCGTCTCTCCATGGAGAGGTGCTCAAGAATCAAGATTCATCCAGGATTCCCATTGTTGGGGTAGAGCTAGCTGTTTATTTTTTCAATTTTTGGAGATACACTTGGAAAGCTCCTCCAAGTCACCCATTGAACACTCTTATGGGTTGAGGTTCACAACTAATAGATAAACAAATCATTAAACTTATTTTGGTCTTTAATTATATTATTGGGGGATAGGGAGATCTGGGAGATTCGGTGGCATAAGTGAATTCATCTGCTACGAAGCACTATTATTCTTTGAATCACCTGCGTGTCTGAAGGGATGAATGAATATGAGTGTCATGGACTGGAAACTTGAAGATATCAAGTAAGAGAAAAAGATGATGATTCTTAGTGTTAAACTAGAAAATAGGTGTAGATTAATGACATATTAAGAAGAGAATTTAGGGAAAAATAGATATTTGGTTGTAATATGATACAATTGAATCATTTTTTTGAGTGATACAACCTCAGGCCTTCAAGTGACCTGACACTTCCAAACTAAGCAACTAAAACCACAGTAAACTCCTTACAATATTCTTTAACCCTTCTTTCTCCTTGTTCCCCTTTTTATAGATATTTTCTGATTTTTTCCCCCCTCAACTCTACTTATTCCCAAAGTAATCCACAGTCCACAACAGAATTATAAAGTCATTCTCCATAGTGCCCTTCCCACTAATCCATTCTATTATAACCAGCTTGTCTTTGGGTATCTGTTTGACAACTGATATGTTATCTTGAGCTGGTTTGATTTTGTGCTTGTTATCGTGACTAGCCATGAAAATTTTTGAACTAGGGTATATGGTTCCTGTATCCTATGGATTCTTGAAAGGCTCTGAATATGATGAAGATAATGGCCAAGCGGATTTTTATTGAGAAATCAAAATAGCGGCTTCTATTTTTAGATGGTCTTTCTTGAATGTTTTATGGAATGTTATATCATCATAATCTTAGGCTGTTAAGAGAGTATGACCATTGGTCCATGCATGGTATTAGAAATGCGGTCTTCTTCTTTTTAGTTGCTCAATACTAATGCAATGGTATTGGAGATCTCTGTATATCACTGCAGCTTGTCATTTCTCAGTGGTCAGTGATATTCATGTTTCCTTTAAGTAGAAGCTCTGATAAATTCTTCAATTATTACTTCTACATTTATTTTGTATTCCCTATAATATCATAGTTAGAAATTACCTTTCCGGCTGGGAGCACAAAAGGAAGAGTTTTGGCCAAGGATATGGAATGAATATGATGAGGACAATGTATTATATGGACTATAAACCACTAAAATGCTAGGGTAGTTATATTATTAGCTTAAGTTGGCAAATTTGTAATTTTTCGGCTATACTCTCTTTAACAGACTTGTTTTCTGGAGATCTATGTACCTTTAACTTGTGGAGGTTTCCTTGTATTAGTTATCTAGTTTGCTGCAGGGGTTTTGTTTGCTTATTTAGGAGGATATGCTCTTTTATGTCCTACATAAGTGCTGAGTTGCTTGCTGCTAAATTTATGATGTAGTTTAACTAATGTGCTCGTGTGTTCTCTCTCTCTCTCTCTTTTTTTTTCTTTTTTTTTTCCTGAAATCTGATACATTGCAGCAACCCTTGTGCAAATAGCAAATGTTACTAATGTTAGTTTACATTGTCTGCGCACGTTAATGTCCTTGGGTCTCAGTATACTTATGTGTGTACATTATGTTTTGATTGATTATTGAGTGTTAACTAGCACTATTAGGAAAGGTGTTATAGCTCATAGGGTATGAATATCGATGCCTCGTGATCAAACTCCCTTTTTCTGTTCCTGTCTTCCTGGCTATCTCTGAATTACTTGGGAAGTGAGTATGCCATACAAGGGGTAGCTTAGATTAGATCTTTCTTTTTCTTCTTAGGTTGCAGATGGGGACTTGGGGGATCATGGCTTTGGTTCATTCATTATTTTACGCAAAAGTAAAAAATAAAATAAAATAAAAAATTGGATTGGAAAGGAGTATCATTTGTCTTTCCTATGTACAATTGATGAAGAAAGATAAGGGGATTGCAGGGTCTTTGGGAATTGAAGCTTTGGTTCAATATTATTTTATCCAATTTAAAAGGTATGGATTGCAGATTACTGCTGGCCTTTCTCATGATATTAAGATTCAAAGTTGTGCATTGGCAAACATGGAAATCAAAGCCATAATTTGTAAGCAATAAGACGCAGGGGAAGTACATAGAGGTGGGTGGCAACTTGAGAGGTATATAAAGAATCATCTGTAGAGTTTTTACCGACTTGGAGCAAAGTAATGTGTAGAATAATGTGGGATATACTTTTTCCTCTTTCGTCTACCAATAAGCCAATAATTTGTAAACCTTAATTCGTATTTAAATAGCATTTTTGTGGACTTCCTTGCCTGTCTTTCTCTATATCTGTGATTTCCTCCAACTAACAAGCTGTTAGTCATCGATGAAGAAAGATTGGTGTTGTGAGTGTTTCGACATATTGGTTAAACTCCAGTCTATCTTGTGAATTTAATGATTTTGTAGCAGATGTGGAACTCGCTATAATAGTATTATCTGTGACAACTGCTCAGCTGGGACCTTGTATCTTTACCTGAATTAAATTATTTTGAGTTGAAGCTACCTCCTCTGCTCTAGATTTCTATCATGGAAACCGACATCTATGAAGCGCTTTTTTTAAAAAACGTATTGTAGAGGTTCAGTCACCAAATATATCAATTTTTTTTATGAATGTGGTTGATGGTGACTCGGAAAGTTACCCTCTTCTGGTGCATTTGAGGGCCTTTTTTCAGAATTTGCTGGGTGTAAGATTTGGTTGCTAAAGTTGTGTGTGTGGGTTTTTTTTTTTTTTTTTTTTTTTTTTTTTTTTTTTTTTGGGACAAGTGCTTTACTTCAAAATGTAGCACTTAAATTTTATAGAAAATTTTCTATTTGTACCTTTGCTTAATTTTTTTGTTCCTTTGTCAAAACCTAGGGTGGCTGGGAGAATGATGAAACTGTAGAGGAGGCAGCAAGGCGTGAAGCAATAGAAGAGGCTGGTGTCAAAGGCGACATACTGGTTAGGAATTTGAATTTTGTTTATAATACTCTGGTATTTTTGCAGATATAATGTGAATTGTTTGCATTTTTCATTTCTGAAAACCAATGCTTTTGCTTTTCACCTGAAATTCTTGCTTTTGAAAAATGACTATCATTTTGGAATTTAGGGCTTTGGTTTTGTTGTTTTATACTAAATTTAAATATCAATGGTGCAATTATTTTGAAGCGATAATTAGTTATATTGGCTCTAAACAAATGTTGTTCATACTTCATATTAATATTGCAAGATATAGCTATTTTGGCTCCAAACAACTCTAGGATTCCTTTATTCCATCTTTTTTTTAAATATTCTTTCTTATTGGTGCTAGTTGTTAAATCTCTCAGCTATATTTGGTCCTTGCGAATACCTTAGTGCCAATAACATTGTTCACAGAGCTGAATCAGCTTACTGGCCATTCTTGAAACTTTGGATTGTGAAGGACAACTAATTATTTCACTAAACTATACTCTTTATTTTTGGCAATGAGGATGTTAGATGGTCCTTTACAGTCTAGGCTTTTCCTTTCTGTGTCGCACAATGTTTTATCGTATAAAAACCTCCAGGCAACTACATAGACATATAGGATAGCCTCCATGTCTAGACTATTTGTATGGGGTATAGTGCTGTTTAACTTTGCTATATATAGATAATTTCAAAGAGGCTTTTGAAGCTGTCATGCATATATCTGAAATACATACATTAAACAAACCAGAAGAAGAACTTATGTATTATGGACTCTTCATGTCACCTCAAGTACCCATGTCGGACCCTCGATACTTGGGCAACACTTGGAAACTTCACTTTTTGTTCAAAATCATGGAATTTTTTCACAAAATAACCGAGTCGGACGCTTGGACACGTACCCATGTCGGACATGGGTACCTGAGTCCATGTAACATTTTGAAGAAGTAGAAGTCGACGAAGAAAAAAACCAGATGTAAAAGTTTCCAAATAGATAGTTTCTTCCTCTAAACCATTTTTTTTTCTTGAAAATTCATGCTTGTGGGTCACTCTGGCATTTTAAACCATTTTTCTGACTTCTGTGATGTCCGAAAATAAAATTGGTGCTCTTTCAGAACAGTCTGTTAGATGTTGGTGCTCTTTCAGAACAGCCTCTTTTAGATGTTAAATCTTCCATCATACCTCTGCAGCTTTTACCTTTGGTTTGGCAATCTTTGTGGCCCTTCTGGCTTAAGGTTGACCTCCTCTCCCAAGGAATAAGGCTGTCAAGAAGCAAGCCAAATTTTATGAAAAATATTCGTGTGTTGCTTTTTTTGTTTTCTCAAGCTTATACATGCAAGCCAAAGTTTATAAATTTGTTGGACTTTCTTGTTCTTTAAAGGCTTCTCTCATTTCCAGGATTTTTTGGGTTACTATGACTTTAAGAGCAAAACCCTGCAAGATGATTTTAGCCCGGAAGGTTTATGCAAGGCTGCTATGTTTGCATTGCTTGTGAAAGAGGAGCTGGAGTACTGGCCAGAACAGAGTACACGTCAGAGGAGTTGGTTAACCATACCCGAAGCTCTAGATTGTTGCCGGCACCCATGGATGCGACAAGCCCTTGAAGAAGGTTTCATAAAGTGGCATGCCAGTAGGACAACAGGCAGCGAGTGAGAAAGTGATGTATTGCTGGACTTACAGAAACTGAGTGATTTGGTTCAAGAGAGAATTATGTTGCCAAGACAGCTTTTCTGCCTTCTTGTTTCTTCCTTGCTTCTGGGTGTTGAGTTGCGAAAGATGGTAATTGGTGTGCGTCTTTAGGGTTTTGACATGGTTGTTTAGATTTCATTCTCAGGATTTCTTTAGGCGTTTTTGTCTCCGAGAAGTCTTTTTCATTTTTGGCTCAACTGACCTCTTTGACTTGTTTAAAATTACTGGGAAAAAGGCATGCTTTTGAGCTCTCCCAACTGTTTTTAGAACTGTCTTCTTATTTCCATTAGAAACTGTACATTGTGAAAATTACTATGGAGATTATACACAACTAATTGTTCTCCTTTTTTTTTGACTGTTTGTTTATCACATTCATAAATACTTGATTATGCTTTGCAAATGATTTTCCCATCATCTTTTATTAAGAAGAAATTAGTTGCATATAAATATGTAATTGAATAATTGTAGGATGTGGATTAGAAACTTTTTTTTTTTTTATACTTTTAGTGCGTGTTTGGAGTTAATCTTACGAATTCATAGATCATACCTTTCAATTAACTTGAATTAACAACTTATGAATAATAAACATGTTAAGCATTTCAAGTTATTTCAATTATGTTTGAGAGTATTAATAAGCGTTATTCAATACTCCATAACAAATTCAATTTTGTTTGAGGATTAACAAAACAGGGTAAGTTAAAAGATTAATGCTTATTAGTTATTAATATTCAATTAAGTAGAATTGAGGATTATTTCTTAGAGAGATTTAAGTTTATCTCGAGCTGAGGCGGCTTATGTTGTTATTTCAATTCTTAGTATTTAATTGTGAAAGAGACTTAGCGGCTATGGAAGAGGGAAATGGAGGGAAATTATGAATTTAAAAAAAAAAAAAAGAAAAAGAAAAAAACACGAGGGGCTTTGAGGAAAGAGAGAGATTAAGCTAGTTTCTCCTTTACTCAGTTTTTGGGACATCTCTTATAGCATCTTCCCATCAACATTGAGCTTTCCTAGAGTTTCTCCTTTACTCAGTTTTTGGGAAGTGGGGCACTTAAAAAAAAAAAATTGTAGGGCGTAACACATATGATGAGCTTGGATTACTCTGTACTTGAGTTAGAGGTGATTATTGGGCGGGTCGGGCCAGGCTGAAGTAAAAAGAAATCAGCCCACTTCTCGAGTCGGGCTAAGCTTCAGGTCGTAATATTTTGTGCCCAAACCTGCCCAAAATGGTCGGGTAGGGCCAAAAAATAACTAAAATTGCATTCCCAAACCCGTCCGAAAAAAATTAATGTTCAAAACCCGTTGGATTGATCCAAAACTTTGGGCAAGGGTTGAACATTTATTGACTCGTTATCTGAAGTAACCCAATCCAAGATGACTTATCACCCGACCCTAATTGGCAGGTCTACATAGTAATAAAATTCTATTAGATTGTGAAGTATATTATTTTAATCGATTAATAAATATTATAAATGGATGTTTTATGCTTTGAACTACTTAGTTCGCTCCAAAAATATTATGATATAAAAAATAAATTTATATGATAGTTTTTGAGAATTATAATCTAATAATTTTTTTGAATAAAATTATAATTCAATTTGTAGATCTGAAATATTGCTATTTTATTGAAAATAAAACTTTAAACTATCAATTTGATCCTAAAATTTTATCCAAATAGAATTCTAACTAACTTTTTTATCTTATGAATTCAATTTAAATCTATCCAACGTGGCACGACACTTGGCGTCACTTAGGGAAAAGTTGAAATGTCAAGTGTCTAGTTTTTGTACCCGTGCAATGCCAAGGTTGTTTATTAAATTTTGAGATAAATTTTTAATCTATATGTCAAATTTCAAAATATATCTCTAATGCAAAATTAGTTAGTAATTGATGTGTTTTTATGACGATTTAAATTATGTAGTAGACATATAAATGACTGGCTAAAATTTGAATGGAAAATAAAACTCACAACTAACAATTTTATCCTAAAATTTTATCCAAATTTGATTGAAAATAGAATTTTAAACTAATTTTTTTATCCTATGAAATCTATCTAAATATATCCAACGTGGCGCGACACTTGACAAAAAATTAGACCTGACTAAAAGTTTAGCTTTATATATTAGTTAGTTTTGTGCCCCGTGCGATGCTCGAGAGATAAATTTTCAATCTATATGTCAAATTTTTAAATATATCATTGATACCAAATTAGTTAGGAATTGATGTGCTTTTTTGACGATTTGCTATATTTTATCAAAGAAATTTTAACAAAATTATAATTCAATTTGTACCTCTAAAATATTGGTATTTTATTGAAAATAAAACTTTAAACTAACAATTTTATCCTAAAATTATACCCAAATAGAATTTTAAATTAACTTTTTAATCGTCTATTTAAATCCATCCAAAGTGGCGTGACATTTGGCGAAAAGTTGGAACGCCAAGTGTCGCCACCTCGTGAACTGGCTGAAAGTTTAACTTTATATATTAGTTATATGATATGATAATCCAAAATTGAGATTATTTTGAGCGAACGATTGTCAATTTTTCCTTCTATACAAAGGGAAATAAAATCTTTTATCCACCAAATCTGGCGCAAGACAAGCAATATTTTATCTTCATACATCATACATTCAGATAATCAATACATTATCAACTACTTTATTTGCACGTTAGTCATGATGTGCTCCTAATGTTACTCTCCTGCACGATCAATAATTAAATAAGAAAATTAAAGGGTTTTTTTTTTTTTTTTTTTAATTATAATTTCAATTCTCCATTTATATGGAGTAATTTGGAAAATTTACATTAAAAACAAATTTAACAAGTTCTTTTAATCTGCGATGTAACTAGTTCTAAGATAATTTATACTTGTATTAAAATTTTAGATTTTGTAGGAGTTGTTTGTAAGTGACGTATAGTTATCTAACTTATCTTTCATTAACGAATCCTTTATTCTTCTTGTTAAAAAAAATAGAAGGTGGGTCAATGGTGGAAATCCGGAAAATCGAGGTTGTATTTTACAATATTTTATCTTTTATTAGTTAGTTTTTAACAACATTTTATCTTTTATTAGGTATTTTCTTACAATATTTTATTTAGTTATTTAATAGGTAGGTTTTTTCATGCAAATTAGAGCAAAACCACAATGCTCATAAACTGTAGGTTTTAATGAAATCAACTGCGAATTCCTAAATGAATTGGATAGAGAATATGGAAAATAGCCAAATTTGTAAACGAACCTGATAAAGAAAAGAGAAGTGTTGGAGTTCTAATTAGAAGTATATTAAAAATGTGGCAGCTAATGCGTGCGATGTCATATAAGCTTTTAAGTTAATTTAGCTACTTTGAGCTCTTATGATTAACTATTTACTTTCTCTGAATAACTGGCATAATCAACTTTTGCACACATGCCGATGTACTAATTTGACCTTATTTTTATATAATCAAATATTAAAGAAAATTATATTAAAAGTGATACTCATATTATGAAACTTTATATTAATGCCTATCTAAAAACATATTTTATGACAAAATATATTTTTATTATATTAGTAAATACTCCCTCCGTCCCCTTTTTATAGTCCCTTATGAGCATTTTTCACTGGAATTAATAAAAAAAAGAAAGAATAGCTAAAGTACATTGAAAAAGTAAATTGACATTGGGTATGCAAAAAAGTAGAGAGAGAAAGTAATAAAAGTACATGGAAAAACAAAATTTACATGAAAAAGTTAAATTTGCACAAATAATGTTGCAAATTGGGGGGAATTTTGCTAATAAAAAATTAATATTAATTTTTTTTGATGCAAAAAAAATTAATATTAATAGTTGTTGGAAAAAACAAATGGGGTGAATATTTTGGGACTAAAATTTGTTTATAAGGGACCATCCAAAAGGGAACGGATGGAGTATGTAAATAGTGAAAAAAAAAATAGAAAATCAACATCTCTATTATTCTATCAGAAATTCAGAACGGAGAGAGTACTATTTATGAAATGAATTCCAATAACTTATTTTTATTTTATTTTATTCTACTATTAATGCAGTTTTAAATTAAAAATTTGAATAGGATCGGTTGGGTGGGGTGCTAAAGAGCCGGTCGACCAATTTTTCCAACCTATGTGTTGACATGTGTCACTCAAAACTAAAAAAAAAAAACCTTTATAAGAGGTTACCGATCACTTGTTTTCATTTTGAACGAGTGACTCCCAAAGTTGGAATTATTCAAAAATAATCCAAAGTTGAGATTATTTTGAACTATCAGTGGTCAATTTTTCCTTCTATGAAAAGGGAAATATATCCTTTATCCACCAAATCTGGCGCAAGACAAGCAATATATTATCTTCATACATCATACATTCAGATAATCAATACATAATCAACTACTTTATTTGCACGTTAGTCATGATGTACTCCTAGTGTTACTCTCCTGCACGATGAATTCCAATAACTTATTTTTATTTTATTTTATTCTACTATTAATGCAGTTTTAAATTAAAAATTTGAATAGAATCGGAATGCATGTTGATTCCAAATTCCCAATCGAGAATGTCAATTAAATAAAGAATAAAATCTAGATTTGTATAACCGTAAGTCATATTGAGCTGGATGCCGACGACTAACCAACAATAATTTGTACTTTATAATAATAGGTTGCATGCAATGAAATCTTACTAGTTACTATAAATAGGGTTCGGGTTGTAGGGTTAGAGGCATCCTCATTAAAAACTACTAGAGTTATTAAAAAATAAAGGCAAATAACTTTTTTAATCTTCTAGTAGTAGCTACTTTACTAAAATCCCAAAAATGGAGGGCAAGAAAAATTATGTATTAAAAGTATTTGTCGTTCTTGCATTAGGTAATTTTATAATTATGCTTCGTAACTATATTTCTAAATTAAAATTGTATTGAGTTGAAATTTTATGAAAAAAAATAAAATTACGACGTTATTAATTATATGTTTGTTATTAAAATCTACAAAGTATTTTTTTACTAGCCAATATTAATTTTGGTATGTATTGATAAATTTAAATTGCAGTGCAAATGATGTTGGTTGGAAATGTACAAGGATTTGCTGGTGTTGGAGAAGGTTGTGGGGCTTTTAATTGGTGTTGTAATGGAGGTTCATGTTCAGATTCCTTGAGTGGAGGTGTATGTGTATATGATAAGCCTTAGCAAAGCCCCTATTAAAACGTCTATATCGATTTAGCCCTTTGTTGTACTCCGTATAACATATATGCGGAGTATAATGTAACATTATATATACTACCTCCGTTACAGGTTATGTACGTGTAACGATTTGACATAAAGCAGAGAGGGAAAATGTCTAATCGTTGCACATAACCTATAACGGGAGGTAGTATAATACTCGGTACGTACGTACGAATTGAAGATAGTAATGCACGCTTCTGAT